ATCTTTGTATGCCCCTCTGTACAGAGTCGCCCCTCTCCATTATTAAACAAAAAAAACCAACCATCCCCGAAACTATCGCTCCTTCGCCTCCCAAACCCCCTCTTTCTCCTTCTCTCTTTTTCTTTTTTCTTTTTTTTTTTTCCCTAATTTATCCCTCATTTTTCCTTTGGTTCTCTGTGCCACGGCAGTTATGGACGTCCGCCGGAGGCCCACCAAGCCTTCACCCGCCAAAACGTCCTCCGCCGTGGATCACCACCATTCTTTCTCCCCCAAGGCCTCCGATGCTCTCCCCCTTCCGCTCTACCTAACCAACGGCATTTTCTTCACTCTGTTTTTCTCTGTGGCCTACTTTCTACTCCACCGGTGGCGCGACAAGATCCGCAACTCCACCCCGCTCCACGTGCTGACGCTCTCCGAGCTCGCCGCGATCCTCTGCCTGATTGCCTCCTTTATCTACCTTCTCGGCTTCTTCGGGATCGACTTTGTCCAGTCCTTCATTTCCAAATCCGATGGCGAGGACGAGCACCAGCAGTTCATCCTCCACGAGGATCGCAGCATCCACGGCACCCTCCCGCCGCCGCCGCTGCCGCTGCCGATGGAGCTCCCGGAGGACGACGAGAGGCTCGTGGACTGCGTCGTCTCTGGAGAAATCCCGTCCTATTCTCTGGAATCGAGACTGGGGGACTGCCTCAAGGCGGCCAAGATCCGGCGGGAGGCGGTGCAGCGGCTGACTGGGAGGTCCATGGAAGGTTTACCTCTGGAAGGGTTCGATTACGACTCCATTTTGGGGCAATGCTGCGAGATGCCTGTGGGGTACGTGCAGATACCGGTGGGCATAGCAGGGCCGCTGCTTCTAAACGGGCGTGAGTACTCGGTGCCGATGGCCACGACGGAGGGGTGCCTGGTGGCGAGCACAAACAGGGGGTGCAAGGCAATCTTTGCATCTGGTGGGGCCACCTGCGTGTTGCTTAGAGATGGCATGACCAGGGCCCCAGTGGTGAGGTTCTCGTCGGCAAAGAGGGCCACGGAGTTGAAGTTCTTCTTGGAGGATCCTCTGAATTTCGAGATGTTGTGCGTTGTTTTCAATAAGTGAGTGAAAAATTTTATATACATATTTTTTTTTTCTTTTTTCCTTTTCTTATGAAGATTTTTATTAGGCTTTGAATCTTTATGCTTTGTGTGATTTACTGACTTTTCGTAACCCTTTTGGTTTTGTTGAGTTTGACTGTTTGGGAGATGGTTAAGTGCTTTGATTTGTTGGTTCTTTGAATGCATGTCCTCTGTTTTGGTAGGAGTTGTGATATACTGATGTTGATTGATGATGTTCTTTAAATCTTTAATTTTTTATTTTTTTTTATTTTTTCTCATTTTCGTTTTTTGCTTTTAATTCTTCTCCATATTCTCATGGGATCTTGATTTGTAAATTTTAGTGAGGTCAACATATATGAAAGAAAAAAAAAAAAAAAA